TACACTTAATACAATCGTCAAATCTGGGATTCCATTCTTGGAAACATTTTTCAAACTCATCTGTTTGGATGGCTGACTGCACCTCCCTAGTTCTTTTCTTCACTTCCACACCATCAAATCGCTGTCCTTTCATTCCCCTCTACATTCGAGGAAACAAACAGAAGTTGCACGGAGCGTGGTCAGGTGATTAAGGTGTGTGGAGCAAGAGAGGCATGCTGCTTTTTGCCAAAAACTGGCCAAAACTGAGATGGCTGTGTGAGCAGGTACATTGTTGTGGTGGCAAAACCATTCCCTTGAACGCCTCAAATCAGGCCTTTTATGTCGCACACTGTTGCACAATCTTTTCAGAACCTCTAAATCAGTGGTTTTCAACCTTCCTAATGCCGCGACCCTTTAATACAGTTCCTCATGTTGTGGTGACCCCCAACCATAAATTTATTTTCATTACTACTTCATAACTGTAATTTTGTACTGTTATGAATTTTCATGTAAATATCTGATATGCAGAATGTATTTTCATTGTTACAAATTGAACATAATTAAAGCACAGTGATTAATCACAAAACAATATGCAACTATATAATGTGATATATTTATTTCTAATTACAAATCAATGACATTTTGTCTTGAAACATGGTGTAGCCTGGGTAGTAGTCTTCATGTAGGGTACTCGTATGTGGGCGTGTCTGCATGTGGGCAGACCCACCTGGAGACAGATAGAGGAGCGGTGTCTCGGTTCCTAAGACCATCGGAAATATGTTTTCTGATGGTCTCCTGCAACCCCGGTGAAAGGGTGGTTCAACCCCCCAAAGGGAAAGGGGTTGTGACCCACAGGTTGAGAACCAGTGCTCTAAATAGAAAGCTTGATTAACAGCCTGACCCGGTGGAACGAACTCCAAATGCACTATCCCACTCACATCAAAAAAACAAATGGGCAGCGTCTTAATCTTTAATTCTACTTGATGAGTTTTTTGGGGGTGAGGTGATTGTGGGGAACAGAAGGATTTCTCTCAAACTGTTTCCCCCCAAAATATGTACCAAACTTAGCTGCTTGAGAATGACTGTA